CCCGCAGCGGGCCACAGGCTCCGGACGCGCAGGCTCAGCGGCCATGGCTCACGCGCCCAGCCGCTCCGCGGCACGCGGGATCCCCCCGGACCGCGGGGCACGAACCCGCGTCCCCCGCATCGGCAGGAGGACTCTCAACCACTGCGCCACCAGGGAAGCCCGCAGTTTTTCATTTAATGATGGATTTTTATATTGTTTTTAAAGATGGAGTTCTTGTCATGATTATTAGCTGTATACTAGTAAACACAGAGGTGTGTTAACCTAATTACTAATCATAATAAAAACAAAGCCCTCAGTGCTTTGGATTTCCTTTGCTGATCTCTGAGGATAGTACCACCCATGAGAATGGATCAGAATCACTTGAATTTATGCTCATTTCCAAAGTCCAGGCATTGTAGGGGGACATGTGAGATTTATTCAACTCCAGTAAAGCAAAAACCTGTGAAGCTCCAGTACCAAGACCGATAACCGGCTTGCTCATGGGTTCAGCATATATGTGCTGAATACACATGAACTCCCTACATGGCTCACCTGCACTTACGAGGATCCATAATCACATTGCAAAAAAATGAACAATGCCTATGGTCCTCCAGCTGCTGTGTCTCAACCAAGTTAATAACACACTCTGTTGAACTGACTTTCCCACAGTGATTCATCCAGAGAAAGATGATTTCACGCTAACTTTCATTTTCTCCAAGCAGCGTAGGTGGAAAGAGGGAAAGAAAGCAAACTTGGTTTCATGGTAGAAAACCCAATGGTTTGGCACTCTTCAAGGAACACATAATTTTCTTGCTTATTCTGAGAAATATTAGTTCCCTTCTTTAATTCTCTAAATTGTGTTCCATAAACCATTACCTAGAAGTCCTAAAATGTTGGATGTTGTGCACGTTTAAACTTAAGTACGCTAACAACTAACTATTCTAAGACAGCTGCCTCATGCTGCCTAGAATGTGGGTACACATTGGGATGTTTCATTTCTTATTAGATCGAATCTCAGAGAAATGAAGCAGGGTTTTAGCCTTGTGGAGTGGGGTTTAAGCTTGCTGAAGGCTGCTCGCACTAAAGAGGGAATTGGCTACCTGGGAATTTCCTCATTGCATTAAGTAAAGAAAAAACAAATGCATCCTTTAAGACGAGTTGATTCTTAAGTACCGAATTAAGGCATATTTTGAATTAGGGTCTATTTTGCACGGAGCTGGCCTTATTTGCTAGCTTTGAATGACAGGTCCTTAATCTTCAAGGTTTGGATACATACACCTCAAACCACAACATCTCTTCTGTTAGCCTTGTGTAGAGTCAAGTGATCTTGATTACATGAAGCAGAGAACTGAGGCAATTATCTAACCATTCAAACCCAGAAAATAATTTTGGCTTGACTTATCCAGGAAGTGCCCCAATTTTCTATTGAAACTCTGGAATCCCAGGTCTGACAAAAGTCTTTCCTTTTAAAATGTCTTAAGGGTAAAGTTAATAGAGTCACCAATCAGAATCTCTGAGTTTGATATGTTTAGTTAGCTTCCGGGTCACTAAGCACATTTTTCTCCAGGAAGCAAAGTCAGGAATTCCTTTGTACCCTTAGCTCCAAAAAAATTTAGCCTGACCCTCTATTCTATCCTTGGTTGTGTGCTCTCCATCAGCATATCAAGACACGTTTGGAATAGAGGCAGAGGCTTTTGTTGAGACGGGCCACAGGGTAAACAGAATGCACCAAAGTGGAAGGCAGAGCATGTCAATCATCTACAGTTGAACATTCCTGTATAGTTTAGCAACTCACCTTCCAGTGCTGGGCTGTGCTTTCTTGGGATTCTAAGTGCAGGAGGCAGATGGGCAGCAGTTGGATAAAGAAAGTACTGAGAGAAGCAGAAGTGTGCTAAAGGTACAGGACGGGTGAGGAAATGGCAGGGGTGTCAGAGCCGGGTCCAGTGGAGAGGGAAAGCTGACAACCTTCAAAGACAGAGGCAAGTCAACCCTTTTCCAGTGATTTTCTTTGTTAGATGAAAGGTGGGCCACAGCTGGGGAACTCGGGCCTGTGTCCCCAGAAACAAGGGACACTTCAAATTGTGAAAGGAGCTCTCTGCCTTCCCCACCCAACCCAGCTTGTTGTGAGGCTCCCTCTGGCCTCAGCTCAGAGCCTGCTGCTTAGGAATTCAGGGCGTACCTGGACAGAACTCTTCCTGAATCCACATCTAGGGGCTGACATCACACGATGCTGCTTATGCTTGTGTTTACCCAGGCTTCCACCCGGCCACAGAAATGATCTACGCACCTAGACCCAAACCCACAGACGGTGCACAGAGGAGAATGGTGACTGATTCCCACAGATAAGTTAGTACCTGGTTTAAACCACTGGCTTATCTGGACATGAAAACAAGAGACAGGTATGAGAACGGTAACTCTTTCTGTGAAGACTTTTTGTTGAAATAGCCTTAGAATCTCTAAGAATCCCTAATTTGTTAAGCCTAATACCACTTTAGGAAAAAATTTCTCAGTAGCCACATTTATGTATCTAATGCCTTAATAGAGACCTTAGAGCATTTTTGCAAACTCATTGTAATGCTCAGAACAACCACTTAGAGAGTAGAGGTCAGCAAACTTTCTTTCTGTAAAGGGCAGAGTAAATATCTGAGGCTTTTTGGGCCACCCAGTCTCTGCTGCAACTACAAGACTCTGATTTGTAGCAGAAAGCAGCCATGAGAAAGTGCGTAAGCAAATGAATGTGTCTGTCTGTGTTCCAAACACTTCATTTATGGACGTGGAAATTTGCATTTCATGTAATGTTCACGTATCATGAAATACTCTTCTTTCCATTTTTTTCCAACAATTGTCACCTTGTGGCTCAAACAAAAGGGGTAGATTTGGCCAGCAGCCCATCATTTGAAGACCCCCAGACATAGAAGGCTGAAAGGTGGACATTGTTGCTGTCATGGCAACACATGCAAGGTGTAGAGTTCGGGGAAAGGCAAGGCAGGGACTAGGCGGCAGTGCTGCAGGGAGCCCCGCTCCGGGGGTTCCAGGACCAGCAGCATCAGCATTGCCTGGGTCCCACCCCAGACCTAGAGAATCCACATCTGCAGGTCAGCGAGATCCCCAGGTTCCTTGCAAGCTTGAAGGTTATACTGAAGTCTCAGAAGGCTTGGCAGTGTGATCTCAAGGCTGGGCTCTGGAGTTAAAGGTCTAGTTCAAATCTTTGTGTCTCTCATTAGTTATATGGCCGCGGACAAATTATTATTATTATTAACATGCCTGTTTCCACGCCTAAAAAGCGAAGATGACGATCCATGCCGAACACTTAGAAGTGCCTGGCAAGTGATGCTTATTAACTGTTTACTATGATTGAGTTTCAAAAACTCAAGGCTCACGCACATACTCCTAAAGGCCACTTCCCCAAGGACAGACACATTTTCAGCCAGTCACTTGAGTTGATTGACTGAGATTGCAGCTCCCCCAATACCCCCCACCAATCCCATCCATTAGAGAAAACAAAGACACCAACAACTCCTGGCCGCAGAGTGTCAAATATATTGATGGTTGTAAAGGGACAGCTTGGAGACATTTTAGGTCTGCTGAAATGGCGTGCAGCATACAGACATGCTCGGTTTTTCTGAACCATGTCATTAAGTTTGCAAATACATCTCTGTTTTGAACATGATGTCTTTTTTTTTTTTTTCATTAGCACAGTTAACTACTACAGTTTCTCCTAGAGTAAATAAATATAACGGCTGTTTGCAGAGCCACTACAGATTTATTTAGATGTTTAACAAGGTGAACTATTTCACAATTAGTTCGACCTCTGAGTCAACAGCAAGATGTTTTTCATTTGTTTTGTTCACTGCTCTCATGGGCGGGGGTTATCTTTTCCAATCTGTTCTCTGTTCACATGTTTAGTCGCCAACAGACTATGAAAGGTAGTGAAAAATAAGTCTGTTTAAAAAATTAAACTGTAATTAGGCCATGGGTTTTTTCCCAAGACCCTTAAAGTCAGATAATTTAAATTTACAAGAGGAAAAAAAAATAGGCATCATGGAAAACTAAGTAACAAAAACACTACTGAAAAACACATCTGTAGAACACAGTGGTCAGTTGTAAACAGGTCAGAAGGGTAAAGAAAACAGAAGGTCCTTCTAGAATGTTACACAGTCCAATGACAAACTCTGCTTTTTTTTTCTAGTGGCTATTTTCCTACCACAGTGTTAGCTTCATTATTATATTAAATAACTTATATGGGTAAAAAGGAGTTTGCTAACCAGCAGCCAACTCAAAACCTTGTAGGAAGAGGGAGGAGGGGAATTCACAACACAGCCCAAGCTCGCTCAGGGAAACAAAGTCCGCAGTTGGCATCCAGCCAGCCTGACCCCTCCCGGCAATACCACTGAGCTGCAGTTTGGGATCTAAATGGAGGGCTTGCTTCCCCTCCCTCTTCTCCCGTTTTCTTTTAAGTTAACAAAGAAACATGGGCTTCCTAAGAGCCAGCACTCAGCTGGGCAAGTCCCATTAGCAGCAAATGTTGAACCAAATTAAAACACACACACACACACACACACACACACACACACACACACAAAAGAAAGCTCCATCCAGATGCAGAGCTGTGATTCACATGGAAATTCCAGGAGATGAATCATTGCAGAGCTGGGATCTTTAGAGGATTCTTCCTCAAGTGTCCTCAGTGAACATTACAGTCTCACAAAATTTGAGTCAATCTGTCAGCTGTGGGGAATAAGATCCCCGTCTGCTCTTGAGGGAGCGTGCTTGCAGGGACTTCATGATTTTTTGTGGCACTAGATGCCCGAAAACAAAGGCCAGCCCCTCGATGATCTGCTTGAACGCAGCAGCTAGCAGCAGCCAGCATCCCGTGTGTTAAACTCTGCCCAGGAGGCTGGACCTGAGTAATAAAGAAGATAAGATAAGAAGGAAGGTGGCAAATGATCTGAATGAGGATGAAAATCCTCACCTAATACTAGTTTCATCTTTCCCATGTTTGAAGTTTGATTTTACATAGTTTAAAGTGAGTCAGACAAAGACAAACATCATATGGTATCACTTGTATGTGGAATCTAAAAAAATGATACAAATGAACTGATTTACAAAACAGAAACAGACTCACAGACGTAGAAAACACACTATGGTTACCAAAGAGGAAAGGTGGGGGGAAGGATAAATTAGGATTTGGGTAATAACATATACACACTACTATATATAAAGTAGATAAACAACAAAGAACTATACTGAATATTTTGTAATAACCTATAAGGGAAAAGAATCTGAAAAAGAATATATATATAACTGAATCACTTTGCTGTACACCTGAAATTAAAACACTGTATATCAACTATACTTTAATAAAAAATAAATTAATTTAAAAAAATTTTTAAAGAAGGACAGAAAAATATTAAGCATTGAAGTCCTTCAGGTTTTCTGGGAGAAATGCTAGTCACTTAAAATAAATATATATTAGTGGAGATGGCCAAAAACCTACCCCAAGATCAAGTTAATGAAGGCTCCCAAGTGACTATGGGAAGAAAAGAAAATGGGTTTGTCAACCTGGTACAAAAAGGCACATGGGACTTTCCTGGTGGCACAGTGGATAAGACTCCACACTCCCAATGTGGGGGGCCTGGGTTCGATCCCTGGTCAGGGAACTAGATCCCACATGCATGCTGCAACTAAGAGCTCACATGCCACAACTAAGGAGCACTCCTGCCACAACTAAGACCCAGTGCAACCAAATAAATAAATAAATATTAAAGGGAAAAAAAAGAGGCACATGTTCCCAGAGTCTCTTAGTAGAAATACACATACAGCAATTTTGGTTACAGTAATACTATATCCTGGGCTACTTTTGCCCATTAAAGCATCTCAGACGGTTAAAATACAAACTTACCTATCCTAGTTTTGTTTGAAAATACAACAGATTAACAACATTTTTAAATTTGGAGAGATTCTGTATTACATTTAAAGTCCCAGCTCTCTCCCAAACCAAAGAGGGGACCAAGATCTAGTCGATAAGTGACACACTCCAATTTACTGAACCAGCTGGTACTTGGGTCTCTTTGATCTCAGGTGAAATAAGATTTTACTGTTAGAGCTATTCAGAAATACAGTCTGAACTTCTTATCTTTTAGATGAAGAAAATGTGTCAGTGCCCTTTTTAACATACCACAGGGTAATTTCAGTTCCTCATTCCACAAAATAATGGGAGAAAGAAGAACAGAGTCACTATATATCTGCCAGTACTAATAAAAAAAAAAAAAAGACAATAAAACTGAAGGATGGCGATGAGGATCCAAAGCCACAAAGATTCAGTTAACAGGAGATAAGCTACAGAGAGGACTTGGAACTCGCAGGCAGGGATTCCCTATGACAAGCACGCGGCTTTCTTCACTTAAGGGCAATGTCTTTATTAGATCTGTACAGCAATAAGAAGCAATGAGACCCACCTTAAGGACTTCCATCTGTCTTTCTCTATATGGTTTTCAGGTCCTTCACTCTCATAGGAAGCCAAGTAGAGAGCTACAATCAACCAAAAGTACGAATGCATTAACGCTGAAGCCCTTTCCTGATACATTACCCATCCCCCATTCAACCTGAACCAAACCCTACAGCAAAACACACTTCTTAAAATATCAAATTACAACCAGGGAGCTTTAAGAACACAGAATACCACACTTTGCCCCTGACTGACCATCTCAACACAACCCCAAGGGCCTCTTAGGCCAAAAAGGCACTTGGTTAACTAAGACAATTTATGAGGCAAAAAAAGCTTAAAAAGGCAAGCCACAGGATGTGATCATACACTCACATTTATGTTCTTTACAAAGAAGGGGGATGGGAAGGGGAGCCTTTCCTGTTAGCTTTTTAAAAGACATTTTAGCAGGTAAAAAGTCAGGTTTTCTAGGCCAATTTTTCACTCTTCTAATGTTTTTCTCTTTAATATTAATTCGAAAAAAATTCCAAAGATTTAAAAGCTTGTTATTAATCCTGTTTGTAGAGGCTAAGAGTCATCAAGTCCCCTCTGGAATGGGTCATATTAATTCAAAATGTTCTTTAGTCATTATCACAAACACTACCAATCTACTATGAGAAATAGTTCATAATGCTATTGATTTCTATAATATTAGGCTATAACAGATTAATATAATCAATCCCCAAGTCTTGTACAAACTTTAAATTTCTGGTCAATTTGTTTTGTACACAATCACTGTTTCTGCCTCAGATTCCCTAATGTTTTAACAGGTTAAGACTTTCCACTGTTTGTTTTGACAAACAGCAGGGGCTAGCAATTGTTTTGTTCTTCATGAAAATTACCATGAATGTCAACACATCATGAAACACCTTTTTTCTCCATTAAAGCAAGCCTAAACAAGGGCAAATAATCCTTCACTAACTTTCCATTTGTGCCCAAAGCTCTGCAGATCTAATATTATAAAGAATGCTTAAACACAGAAACGTACTGCTTATCGGTGAATAGTGAGTGCCTGACTCAAATATTTTAGGGATAACTCATACGGTTTTCTGTGCAACAGAAAATTCTTAAGATGGAATAAGTCAGAAGACAGGCCTCATACTACAAGAGGAACCGGGCACCAAGCATTTATATGCTGATTTCCTGATCGTAGGGTCTGTGGATGCTGGTGGCCGCCCCGGCTGAACAGGCTACCCACCATCTTCACTAAAGACTGGTACTGTGAGCAAGTACTGTAAGATCTTCCGGTCCCTCTCAAATGGACACTCCACTTGCTTCCATGTCATGAATTCACTCACTTGTTTGGCCAGTTCCCAAAATTTCTAGAAAAGAATAAAATGAAAGTTGAAGTTAAAGGCAGTTATCAAAAATCATGAGCTTGGAAGAGACCACTCCATTTAATGTTCTCCTCTGGCTTCTAATCTTCTGAACTCCATAATTTTCTTAACTTAATAAAAATTAGCAATCGATATTTACTAGGTAGAGGTCCAAATTTACTCAAGTACCTCTGGATAATAATTTATAATAATGGTGCAGCTAATTTATTCTAGTCAGCATTGTTATCTTCTTACAAATTAGTAGGGAAA